GCTTTTCACAGATGAGAACAGGTTCACCCTGAGCACATGTGACAGACGTGAAAGGATCTGGAGAAGCTGTGCAGAACATCGTGCTGCCTGTAACATCATTCAGCTTGACCATTTTGGTGGTGGGTCAGTGATGGTCTGTGGAGGCATATCCATGGAGGGACGCACAGACCTCTACAGGCTAGACAATGGCACCCTGACTGCTATTAGGTATCGGGATGAAATCCTTGGACCCATTGTCGGACCCTACGCTGGTGCAGTGGGTCTTGGGTTCCTCCTGGTGCATGACAATGCCCTGCCTCATGTGGCGAGAGTATGCAGGCAGTTCCTGGAGGATGAAGGAATTGATACCATTAAATGGCCCCATGCTCGCCTGACCTAAATCCAATAGAACACCTCTGGGATATCATGTTTCGGTCCATCCGATGCCGTCAGGTTTCACCTCAGACTGTCCAGGAGCTCAATGATGCCCTGTTCCAGATCTGGGAGGAAATACCCTAGTACACCATTCGTCATCTCATCTCATCTTATTTAGGAGATATATATATTTTTTTTCTTTTTAATGTTATTCATTTTTATGAAAAGGTTTTAAGGGGTAGCGCACCACATGGCTGGTATGAATACCCCAGGACACCATCCGTCGCCTCATTAGGAGCATACCCCGATGTTGTCAGGCATGCATACAAGCACGTGGGGGGCATACAAACTACTGAGTACCATTTTGAGTTGCTGCAATTAAATTTCAGCAAAATGGACTAGCCTGCTGCATCATTTTTTCACTTTGATTTTCGGGGTGTCTTTGAATTCAGTCCTCTGTAAGTTGATAATTTTTGTTTCCATCAAACAATGGGGCATCCTTATGTTACTAACACATTACCCAGTCCATATCAGTATAGATATCCAGCATGAGATTTTTACCCATTGATAGCTGATGCTTTTTCAAAATGTTCCTTTAATTTTTTTGAGTAGTGTATATCTAAAATCAAATCTTTTTGGCTGTGCCCCATTTTTCCTCTTCCTGTCCTACAGAAACTACAGGAACTGATAAAGCGAGAGGAAATTATCTCTTAGATAGTTGTCACCAAAACGGGTGACCCAGTTGGAAGCATTCCCTCTAACCTCCTGGCACAGTGAAAGCTATAAAATGTTAGATCTTCCATCATTTTGATCCCAGTGACAGTGGTCACCAGGACAAAGAGAGAGGGGAGACAGACAACAATAAAAACCTGACAGAGTTTTTAGACATAACCTACTATATATGCAGAATCATAAGAAATTAATAAGATAAAACTTTTCGCTCCATAAGACGCACTTTTTTCCCCCCAAAAAAGGGGGGAAAATGTCAGTGCGTCTTATGGAGCGAATATGGAGCGGCCGGTCCGGTATTTTCGCCGCCGTGTCAGAATACCGGGCCGGCCGCTCAGCTCTCCAGTGGGACGCTTACCTGTTCCTCTAAGACGCACTTTTCCTTTCTGTAGTGTGCCCCAAAAAAGGGGGGGAAATGTGCAAGCGGTGCGTCTTTGTGGAGGTAAGGCGACCTGGGACACATGGAGATCCGAAGCCGCCGGACCAATCACAAATCGGCGCTTCTAGCTCATTGGGCATCCGGCTGTCCGCCAAGCGCACACTACAGAAGCCGGCCAGCGCACGGCTGGATAGTCAGGTAAGATCACAACTCCGGGAAGTAAGAGCGGGTACCGTCTCAGCTCCCGCTCCCCCCCCCCCCCTCCCCAAAGGTCCAGTGGGTACCTATACCAGTTCCTCTACTCCGCAGCTCTGGTCATCGCCTGTACTATGTCCGCAGTCTCTGGTCATCTCCAGTACTGTCCGCAGTCTCTGCATCTCCTGTACTGTGTCAGCAGTCTCTGGTCATCGCCTGTACTGTGTCAGCACGAAGCGGTCATCTCCTGTACTGTGTGTCAGCAGTCTCTGGTCATCTCCTGTACTGTACCTGGGATCCCATGTACAGTGTCCGCAAGTCTCTGGTCATCTCCTGTACTGTGTCCGCAGTCTCTGGTCAACTGTGTCCAAATCTCTGGTCATCTCCTGTACTGTGTCAGCAGTCTCTGGTCATGTACTGTGTCAGCAGTCTCTGGACCTCTCCTGTACTGTGTCAGCAGTCTCTGGTCATCCCCTGTACTGTGTCAGCAGTCTCTGGTCCCCCTGTACTATTTCAGAATTTACGAATTATAATAGTAGAGAATTTAAACTAATCCAAAATAACAAAACCAAGTTTTGTCCAAAAATAATGAATTATCCGTCTTCAAATAGAAAATTTGAAAATAAAGTCTAATTCAAAAACAAATTTGAAATGCAAACCTATTGCTGATATTGCTGACCCGTGTGTATTATGCTAGCCATACACTAGTTGAAAATAGTTCAACTGTGTTTTAAAAAGAGAAATACATGGCTGTGAGAACAAACAATATTGCCATTATGTAATGACCGATTTTCAAAAATACATTGTTTAATGAACACAAGTGAATCTGTTTTTCATCTGTTTTGTCACATACAGTATGCGCACGAAGAACAGTCCGATTTGTTACGGGCGAGAAACACATTTTAATGTATCGCCCGTTCAAACTTTCCTTTAATTTTTTTGGTTCAAAAACATTTACAACTGATTTTCTATTTGTGCCCATTAACTGGAAAAATTAAGGAACTGTCCAAATGATAGATTTTCGAATGACTTTTCGCCTAGTGTATAGGCATCACTAGTGTTAGAATATAATTAAGAATAGAATAGAATTTAAAATATAGAAAAGAATAGACAATAAAACAATAGAATAGAAAATAATTGAATGCAGCCGTCTTCCGAAATTTGAATTTCTACTAGATTAGAATGGAATAGAAAGAATATAGCCATCTTACTTTGACGTTCAAATTTCAAATAGAATAAAATAAAACAGAATATAGCTCTTTTCCAAAATTTGAATTTCAAAAAGAATAGAATAAAACCGAATATAATAGAAAATAAAAGAATAGAGTAAAATAGAATATAGCCCTCTTCCGAAATTCAAATTTTGAAAAGAATAGGATAAAACAAAATAGAAAATAAAAGAATAGAATAGAAAGGAATAGAAATAGAAAATAATAGACTAGATTAGAATATTAGAATATAGCTGTCTTCCGAAATTAGAATTTTGACTATCTTATCATTTAAGAAAGGCAGAGGTTTAGTAGTGGGATTGACAACAAGATGACATTTAGAGATCCTTAAGGGCTCATTTTTCTCTTGCGATGGGATGGGGGGGTAAAATCACTCAGGTGAACTGCATTTTACTACTCCAACCATCCCGCCCACACACACACACACACCTCCCCTACCTTAAGCTGCAAAGGCAGTTGGACAGAGATTTGCACATGCCAGAGCTGCAATGCCTTGCTTTGCAGCATGAGCAAGAATGATACCCCCTGTTGTGTGCGGCGAGTAGTACCCACCAAATGCTACCCATTCAAGTGAAGTAATTGCAGCATTTACAGGTTAAAACAGGCAGTGAGGCGCTTATGATCCACTAATGTTTTTCAGAGATGCAGCAATGTTAGCCACATGTCATTGCATATAACAGTCATGTTGCTTTGTATCCCAACCATTACTGTCATTCTGTTGTTTTTACAAGCTATAATAATCACTCCAGTCTTGTTTTTTTTTTTTTTTTTGCATTACTACACAGAGGTTCCACCAATGCTCAGTAAATGGGCAGCACACTGTCTGCATGGAGTTTTGAATGTTCTCCCTGTGCTTGCATGGGTTCGCTCCCACACTCCAAGGACATGCTGATAGGTTAAAGTGTATGTTACCCCAACATTTCATATTCCTGATACGTGTCTGTGTTACTATGTACTTATGTTCTCTGTTTTGTATTTCCTCCTTGGGTGAAATGCCTGGTGATCTGCCAGTCCCCTACTTTTCTATTTCAAACTGACAAGCTAGGCATGAGAGCACATCTATCCCAGTGTGGTCGATTTTCTTTTTTGCATTCTACTTGGGTTCCCAGCTTGTCTGTACTCCAATGGTCAGACTCTGGCTGACACCCCCCTGCACAATTAATCACTGGGAAGATCAATGTACTGCTGTTCTTTTGCCTCCTGCTTCAATGGCACATACTAGCACATTATGGCTTAAACCACCTGGGGGGGGTCAATGTTTTCTGGGTTTTGTTTTTTTTTTTTTTTTATTATTTAAGGAGTTTACTAATGCTCACATAATGTTCACATACACAGTACTTTATTTGGCTCCTGTCTAAATTGTCCCTAAGATTTGTATGTATGCATGTGATATTGGGATCTTAAACTGTAGGTGACTGATGTCAATGTACAATATGTAAAGCGCTACATATTTTGTCAGTGCTATGTAAAAGATATAATAGTAAAGTAAATTGATAATCCTAAGCGAAATAATGAAAAGTAGAACATGAAACTTTTCATTCCTGTACAGTCATCAGTACTGCCCTCTCCAGAGCTGCTCCTGGATGGCAGAGCTATATGTCCATGGCACAGGAAAGTATTAAGACTATTTATTCTGTCTGTTTTCACTTCATTTATTAGGATTTGTTCCTCTCTCTTTGCCTCTCAGCTGACAAGATGTACTAAATACACCAGAATAACAGAAAAGGACATCTACATTCCCCAACCATTTACGTTAGCAGCAGTCATCAAAGGAATATATGTGAAATAAATGAGCAAATCCTTTCCCCATCTCCCTCCACTGGGACCCTGAGCATTAGTAGGACAAACAGCTTTAATTAAGTGTCCACGAAAAAAATGGCTTTAAGCGTAATTCAGCAGGATTTATCCAAGTAATAATGTAAGAGGGAGCTTTACGGGCACTTTAGGGAGTGTCTCCCATCCCTAGAGTCAAATCTCCCCAGCTGTGTGACAGTGAAAATGTGGCACCTGCACATGATGATTCACCTCCTACACCTTGCAGGGATGTTGGCTCTGCCCCCAGACTGGTACCCTATATATACAGGGGACCTGAGCCCATCCTATCACACCTGACATACACAGCCATGGGGATAGTCACCCTCCTCTTCCTCGCCTTCCTCTCCTGTGCCAGAACTGCTCAGTCGCATCAGGCAGATGATGACTCTACTGAGAACTTCATGGAAGTGCCTCCTGGTTTCCTAGAGTCACAGGTAAGACCAGCTTCCAGGTGAGCATGCTACACAGGTACCATCCAAGACACATTTTTGTTTTATAAATAATAGATGCATATTAAAGTGTATTTTAGATGTCATGCTTTTTACTTTTAGAGCGCTTACCATGATATTCAATATACTTACAGGTAGGAGAGTCAATAAACTGCAGTTACAGATCACAGTGTTGTCAGGTTAATGATTTTCTTTCTTGTTGCCAACCAGTGTTAGTATATCCATGAAAGAATTAAAGCAGGAAAAGAAAACTTTCAATGTTAAGCTTTGAACTCTTCCACATGAATTGTCTAGCTGTATTTATCCTTTTATGTTTATTATATAATAACCTCATAATGTTGATGTAATATACTCCTACTAATATGTTAATGTACTCATACCATTGATGTAATATACTTATACAATTATTATTATTATTATTATACAGTATTTATAAAGCGCCAATAGTTTGCTCAGCGCTGTACATTACAAAGGGGGACAGAACATGTGACAGAACAATACCAATACAATGCAAAACATGAGGGGATCGAGGGCCCTGCTCTTTCGAGCTTACAATCTAGGATTAATTAATCTAAAATATTTAAAACTCTGCCATTATCAAGGTGGGCTCCCACCCATCCACTTTTTATAGGTTTTGCCGAGCCGCAACAGTCCTGCAATGTACATGTTCTAATTAACCAATGCAATGCAAAGCATCCAAACAGGATATGCGCTTTCTGAGATGCTTTGCATATATGTACACTATGGGGTCACTGATCACAGGGTTCAATATGCAGCAAAATGTATGTTGTCTGGTGTCTGCAAATACCTGTATGCAAATCACAACTCTTACTTGTTGAATACCTCTAGGTCAGTGACTCATTTCTGTCATTGCAATGTCCTTTAAGTAAGATCACAGCGGTGTCAGCATGCTTTGTGTCAAGCCCCTTCATGCCTACATGCACTCTAATGAAGACCACATGGTATTCCTTAGGGTGTTATTTTCTGGTGACAACAGTGAACCATGCCTGCATAACGCATGTTGAATTGGCCACTTGTGGTCTCCATTGTAAGCCCATATAACAGGTTGGCAATCCAGGAGAACAAGTGAGAGACATGGAGAGAGTCTGTCACCCTATAACAAGACCACCTTGGCGAGATTACCTGGTATCATTGTAATGAAAACTACAGATTTAATAGTCATAAAAATAATATTTGAAATCACTTTAACATGTTAAAGATTCTATGAAATTTCCGTTATTGAGTTTACATGTGCTTTAATGCATATAACAGCACAGAGCATTATAAAATTCAGTCATAGCTGTTTATCGTCTGTGCATGGTGACACGTGCAGACATGTATGTAAACTCATATGACATGGAGGACTATGGTGGTTAATGTAAATCTTTTGATTATACCTACTTAGAGCTGCCTAATATGTGGCTAAGCCCTTAAGAGTCTATATACACATGACTTATTAGGCAATTTGCAAACACTTTGACTACTTGAATCTTATAATTATGTCAGCTGGTAATCCAAGATATTTTAATATAGCTGCACAAGCCTTATGTACAGTCAGATAGGTTATGTGATTGATGCGAGAGAGAACATACTTTACCGTCCAATATCTAGTGAAAAAGAAACAAAAATCTCCTAAATCGGCTTTTTCCGGTCAACAGAGTAGATGTCTCGAGAACCAAAGAGGCAGTTTAAGTACAACTCAAAGATGTAACCGAAAAAGAGAAATTAATTTGTTCAACAAAATTGTGAAGCTTTTATTGAGGTTACTTTAAAATATCTAAGAGAACATAACTTAATATAGATAAATACTTCAAAACTGTAAATATACAATAAAACAATCAGAATTTATGAACAATGTATATAAAAACAATAAAGCCCCCACAGAATTATACTTGTAATCTCACTGTAGATGTTCTGAGATATACAGGTATTTATCACCAAAAAGTTCTGAGGAGCTTTACATACTGTAGACTATGCACACTAGCCACTCCTGCTGGAGGAGTTAGTGTTCCTAAACCCACAACAGTAAAATCAGTCTGTATATGCAGTAAAGCATGCTTTGTATACTCCCTGTGGAACCTAAGGGGTTAATCCTCTGCATTATGTCAAAATGCTGTTTGATCCTGACTTCTTTGATACTCCCCTTTTTCCAGTGTCTACCTCTTATCTCCTGATAAGACATATCATGTGGAGTCACTCTGCACATGTTCAGTTTGGTGTGTATTGCTAGAGGGTTTTTTTTTTTCCCTGGGAAAGTGCATGTAATCTGCACAGGACCAATCAACACTGCCCATACAGAGGTCAGGGGTTCTATATCCTCCTAAAGAAAACTCCTCCTACAAGCTTTAACCAGTGCTCGGCTGGACACTGATAGAAGCCACAAGATTGCTATATACTGCCGATGAGAAAAGGTATTTAGCAGTTTATACTTGCTAAAATATTCCATGCTCTGTGTACTTTTCCATGCTCTGTGTACTGTTGGAGACCAGATATAGTGAATGCAGGGTCCTGGGTTTAATAACACTTTAATATTCTAAACTCCGTACCACTGTCCTACGAAGACCTGGTTGGGTGGAAGCCATTTATATGAAAAGGTGAACTAACTCACAACACACTAACCCCCCCCCCCCACCCCCCATCCCCACAACCTGATCCCTGCTATATTTACTTTTTTACAATGATCACTTTCTGCCATCCATGCCAGCAATGGCAGCAGTATGGGCATTTAAAAAAATGCAGTACACAGCCCACAATGCAAAGCACTCATTGGTCACCACTGGCATGTGACCACACACTGACCAATGAGATCCTTTCTGTGTCCTCTTAGTACCTGGAAGAAGTACAAAAAGAAAGAAGTGTGTTTTTTTTCAAATGCCCAGAGCTAATACACTAGCCAGCATGGGCAGCAGAAGATAATCATTGAAGGAGTTAAATACACCAGGCACTGGGGATTGGGGAGGGTATTATGAGTTAGTTGACCTTTTCAGTTTTTGTGAAAAGGTGAACCAACCGTTAAAAAAAGAAAACTATGCAGCCAGCTCACCCAAGGAATGGTAAGCTTCAATATATTACAGTTTTGTTCTTGGGTTTAGATACAGATTGCCTCAATAAAAAAAACAGCGTCCCTGCTAGGAACTGCAACCAAACACCCCAGCACAATACCTATAGCCACCAACCCAAGACTATTAATACTATTAATATATATGTTCTTTTTGCATTTCTGTTTAGTTGGATGAAAGTATCTCATCGCAGCCCTTATCACAAGAAAAAGGTGCGCTGAGCTCATTTTTAAAAACTCTTTTGCACTGGAGGACATCACGCAGCTCCTTCCACTTTCAACCACAAAGGTAACATCCACATGACTTCTGTTTCCACCTATGTGTCTTTACCAGGGCTGGCCAACTCTCACCAAGAGGCCCTCTCTGTGTGAACTGAGGGCAGCTTCTTGGTTGGCAATGTCAGGAAATCTGTTTCTTTGTTATTTATTGTGAGACAAGAAAGCCATGCGAAACCCAAAGAAGCTGCATTGCCAATATAATGCAATCAAATGTAATTTTACAGTTCTGGTTAAATCCAAAGCATGAAGAGTTTAGGGCATCATAGGTTGGAGAGTATATACAACTCAAACTGTGCCTATGCCCAAGAAACCAGTAAGTGTGTATACCCGTGGTGGACCTGCATTTAGTTGGGTATCAAATGAAGGAGGACAGGGATGATTTGTCTTACAGAGTGTTCCGTAGCTGGTGGGGTATGATGTCAGTCAGACTGATTTGGGTCTCTGGCTGCTGCCTCTCTAGAAGCGACGGAGAGGATAATCAAGAACAATTTTTAGAGGTGAGCCCCATGTACATTAGAAGTAAGTCGTAACTGAGGTTGGTTTTTAAGAGGTTTATTGAAGAACTTGGCTCACAGGTAAAAATCGAATGAATTTCTGGGCAACTGCCTCCCCCTTGATTGTGTGGATACATGAGGTAGGTATGGATCTGGAACCAGAGGATCAGCTTCAGGTGAGAGTCTCTTTGGTGTAGTCAGATCATTGTGACTTGGTTTGACCCAAATGTAGTTTTACAGTTCCTGCGCAGATTAAATCCTTTAGCCTTCAGAGCTTAGGGCATCATAGACTACAGTATATCTACAGCTTAGAGACTGTGCATATGGCCAAGAAAGGGTTCATTGAATCATCTCTGCCTTTTACAGTCTCTTTTAAAACAGATGACACAATTACACACAATTTGGAGAAATTCATAAAGGGTACCTTAGATAACCTTTACAATTTTGTTGGGGCACAGCTCAGAAAGCGTTGGTGCTTGCAGGGCCAAATCTAGAGGGGCAGGGGGGGGGGGGGGCAGGCTAATCTAGTGCCCAGGTCAAGGATGCCAAACTGCACCCCCCACCCTGTTCTTGATGTACATGCTTGGGAGGGGGCTATGCCCAGTAGTCACTCGCTTGTCACAATCACTGCCATTGTCACTACTCCTGTTAGCCTTGTAAGAGAAGAAAAGTGCCCCCATCCCTACAGTAAACCATTGTGTCCCCTCCTGCCCACCCCTTGTCCCAGCCCCGGGCACCACCACTGACAGGAGGAGTCATAGTGACATTACTTCTGCTGTCAGCCCAGAGATGATAGTGAGGGGGACAGAGCTCCCCCTTCTCTCTCCTGCCAGTGCAGCACTCTTGTGTTCTCCTATTGAGCGGCACTGGCACTCCAGAACTTCATCTCTCAGCCACCAGGAATCCACACTACTTGCAGGTATGAGAGAACTGCTTAAAGGGTAGGTTTGAGTGGCGGAGGATGACGCTTATGTGTGGGCTGAGCAAGCCTTTTCAAGAAACGTTGTGCATGCAGCATGCATGAAGAACGAACGAGCCATGTAAATCTTTTCTGGGAGGACATGGCTTGTCTTCTTCTAGGACCAGGAGTAGAGCAGAGCTGATTCTTCACTGAGCTCCCACTACACAGAACCGATCTTTCAGCTACAGCCGACCGTGACAAGAGCAGCTGCAGCTGAAAGATTTCTTCAGTTTTCCTACTGCTGCATTGCATTAAGAAGACTCTAAAACTGCACCCTCCACCCCACAAAAAGTTAGCCTAACACTTTTTCCTCCATTAAGAAGTTTTTTTGCATCCAATGGCAGATCTCTGCATAATTCTAGGCTTCCTAGTGCAAGGCAGTAAAGTGCATGGGCAAGATGCCAAGAAATGATCAAGGCCCCCTTGGACCAGAACAGGGACCTAGCCACAACAGTCAGTTCCACTGTCCAAAAAAATATGTATCTCATGTGCTTGTCTAGCAATGTAAGGGTCAGGCGTCAAATATTGTCGTATTGTACACTATACCATATCTATTAATTTGCCCCTTCCCCCTCCCCCATACATCCACCCTAGACATATGTGTTGCTCTGTGTTCTATTATATATCGTAAATCTTGGAGATCGTCATCCTTTGTTTAAAAGCTGGTATAGGAGTGCATTGCATGATAAGTTTCCTATTGATTATTTTGGGGTAGCCTTTTATTACACAATCCTTCTTGCTGTGGGTAGATATCAAATGACAATGCAGAACATTTATAATGATTGATGCCAAAACATAACCCATGGAGTTATTGATCTGTGTGTCGGGCCTACAGCTTGAAAAACATACACTTATACATGACTATTGCATTTATCTGGTAGAAAATGGTGACATAAGGCTAATAAACCAGTAAGCACAAAGGAAAATATTGATCAGACATTGCTCTGGAACAAGCCATTAACTCTAAATGGACAGCCACATCTAAAACTGTGAAACAGATTATAGTCATATGGTCCAGAATTACTTACAGTGACTCATGCAATTCGTGTCAGTCTGAATCTAAATTCGGACGAATTTTTGGTTATTCAGAGATTTGGATATATCCAAAGGACAATAATAAGGAACTTAACTGAAATTCATTTAGTTTTGCTTCTTTTATTAATTTTCTAACAAATTCCAAATTTTTGTAACAATTAGAATTTGAATTGATCGAAAATTGATCGACCGATAGGAATTCTGTGTTAAGAATAGCTGGTGGATAAGGAATGGGCTAGCAAGCCGTCTGTCGTGTCCTTAACAGTTGATGACTCATCTGCTGTCAGCGTGTTTCCCAACTGACAGCTGAAAGGAAACAAAAGAATTTCTGGCAATTACAAATTCCCCCCAAAAAAAACAGCGTGGGGGTCCCCCATCCCCATGCATATCAGGCGTTTTGGGTCTATTGTCTATTTTAAGCGCTCACTCACTCACCCCCCCCCCCCCCACCCCCCTTTCCTAGACTGTCGGGCTGCATGGTCGGATAAGGGTCTGATATCTATTTTGCGGGGGGGCCCCATGCCATTTTTATAAATTATTTTGATGTGGGGTTCCCCCCAAAATACATACCAGACCCTTATCCGAGCATGTAGCCCAGCAGGCCAGGAAAGGGGGACGAGTGAGCGCTTCCCCCTCCTCAACAATACCAGGTCATATGCCCTCAACATGGGGCAGGGGGGGTTCTCCCCCCAAAGAACAATTGTCCCCATGTTGATGAGGACAAGGGCCTTTTTTCCACTACCCTGGGTGGTAGTTATGGGGGTTGGTGGATAAGAGGCAAGAAGGGGGCCCCCAGATCATGCCCCCCATGTGAATGAGTATGGGGTACATACTGGGCCAGGGCCCCATCAGTTCAACAGGGTCTCTGTAGACCCCATATTTTTCAGGTCTACAGATGTGTATAGACCCCTGATATTTCACCAAAGCCCCCCTCCCCTACCCCCAACAGGGCAGTTAAAAAAATAAATAAAGTAAAATAAATAATATTTTTTTTTTAAATTTCCATGCCTAGGGGGGGTTTTCTCAGCTAGGCACACCCTCTTGTGCTAAGGGCACATTGATTGCAGTGTAAATGCTGCATAATGCATCTGCCCTTACTCAAGATAAATACAAAGCAGCATGTCCTTGCTGACAGGAGAGAGACCTGTGTCGTTTACAGAGAGGTCTCTCCCTGTCAGCTTTCCCTGATGATCACCAAGTGCCAGCAGGAAATCGCCGGCTGGGATCTGGTGATTGGCATCTCTAGCCACCAACAGGGTGCCCCCTACCCAGAAGAAATGCAAATCACGTATATATACACCTGATTTTGCACAGCCCTGTAGCAGTACTTGTGCTCACATACATCGTAGTTCTGCTTTAACAAAGATGTTCTCTATACTATAAGTACATCTTTACTTTTAAGTTCAGGTTCCTTTTAGCAACAAAAACATAACAGTGCAAGTTTGGTATTGCTCAGGAACACCATGGTATACGATGGAATTTATTTTTAATGTTGTGTCCTTCTCCACCTAAGGTTTGGAAGAGATGAACACAGCTCGATAATGGGGGACGGCCGGATTCATTCTCGAGGATGGGACTCGGCACCACAGTTTTGGAGCATGGCAGTACCTCAACGCTTTGGGAGGAAAAAATAAACCTAAAAGACAAATAACTGGATTGATCAATAATTATCTCGCTACCAAAATGTACAACCTGAAAGCGCTCCTATGTACAGTCTGACTATATATACAAGATACAACGGGACTGTTTACTAGCAAAGTGCAGAATACCGGTGTATCACAGTGTCAAATTCTACCTTTGTGATTTGTTGCCATCTATAGTTGACCCCTATGTTAAAAAACTAGGAGGTGATGCGGACAGTATCCAGACTCCTTTATTCTTCTCATGTAGGTCAAATAATGTCTGAATGTAATAATATCTGATTGGTTGTTTTGTGCCACACTTTCACCTCTTTCCTCTGTATTTTACATGAGGCCCAGCAAGTCTACAGGGCCAACCATTTACTTTAATATGTATGTCTTCACATGTCATTAAACTGTTTTTCAGTTCAGCATGGTAATTACCGTACTTGTTATCTACCTTTTATACTGCATTGGTACATTCCATCTGAAAGTTGAAATCAGGCAAAAAGTTGAATTCAGCAGATATGTGTTCTGCAAGCAAATGGGCAGCAGCCGTTGCGTGTTTTTAAGTTCCAACCCTTTTCCCTTTTCCACTTAGCTTTTCATTTATTTGCCATAACAGGTTGGCCTAATGACTGCCTAATTCTTCCCCACTATGTCCAAAATTTAGCCTTTTTATTGGTCATTTAAAACATCATGGGTGAAAAAGTCACCATAGCATGCACATCAATTAATAAATCTGTCTGCAGGTAATACAAGGCATAAGCAGTTCCTTTTTCAGATCTGCTATGTCTACTGTCCAAACTGAAAACCGACATGGAAAGGGGCTGATGAAAAACAAACAAAAGCACCAACTAACCTTTGAGCATCAGCATTATTGTCATTCCCCAAAGGCAGCCATTATTTTTTTCCAAAATGTTTACCTAATTTAAAAAAGGAGTATTATATTAATTTATATAAAAACCCCCATTAAGCTTAAAGTAAAACTAAAGCCCAAACTTTTTCATTCTGGATGAAGGAGGGTTATAATCCATCAATTTTTTTTTTGCCATCTGTCTGTAGAGCTCAATTTCAGTCTTTATGGGACTGAGATTGAGCTCTGCGGTCACTTTTGCAGCACTCCTTTTCTTATTCCAGGTCACAATCCTGCGCAATATATCCTTTTGTCTCTTTCGGCCAGTTGACCATTATCGACCACAGTTATGCTAATCAGACGACTTTCTCCAGGAAACTGTGTATGCCGTTATAACCTTCGATACTGTATCTTGCGACATGGCAAACAAATTGGCAACTTCAGTCACAGAGGCACCAGCTAAGCGGTACCAACAATTTGCCCTTGAAGCTCAGTAAGCTCTGACATGACTCCGTATTAATAGCGTATATATACACAGCGGGTAAAATAAGAATTGAACATGTCACCATTTTTTGTAGTAAATAGATTTCTAAAAGGTACTATTGACATGAGATTTTTACATGTCGGTAACAACCCATAGAATCCATACATACAAAGAAACCAAAACAAATAAGTTCAGAAATTACCTTATGTGTAATAAAATGGAATGACACAGGGAAAAAGTATTGAACACGCTAACTGAAATGTATTTAATACTTTGTACAATATCCTTTGTTGGTAATGACAGCTTCAAGATGCTTCCTGTATGGAGAAACTAGATGCATGCATTGCGCAGGTGTGATTTTGGCCCATTCTTCCACACACAGTCTTCAAATCTTGAAGGTTCTGTGGGCCTCGTCTATGAGCTCTGATCTTTAGTTCTTTCCATAGTTTTTCTATTGGATTCAAGTCAGGTGATTGGCTGGGCCATTCTAGCAGCTTTATTTTCTTTCTTTGAAATCAATTGAGTTTTCGTGGATTTGAGTTTGGGATCATTGTCTTGCTAAAATGTCCACCCTCGTTTCATCTTCATCATCCTGGTAGATGGCAGCACATATTTATTTCCTTCAATAACATGAAGGAAGTTTGCCAGTACCGTAGCGGAAAAACAGCCCCACACCATGATGTTCCCACCTCCAAACGTCACTGTTGGGATGGTGTTTTTGGGGTGATGCTCATTTGACCTCCAAACATGGCATATATTGTGGCATCCAAAGAGTTCAATTTTGGTCTCATATGACCAGGCTATATTCTCCCAGTATTTCACAGGCTTACCTAAATGTTGTGTAGCAAAAAAAAAAAAAGCATGTTCAAGCTCATTTAAAGTTTAGCAACAATGGAGTCTTTGTGGTGAGCATGCATACAGGCCATGGCGGTGGAGTGCATTACTTCTTGTTTTCTTTGAAACAATTGTTCCTGCTAATTCCAGGTCTTTCCAAAGCTCTCCACAAGTGGTCCTTGGCTCTTAGACAACTCTTCTGATAATTCTTGTCACTCCTCTGTCAGAAATCTTGCGAGGAGAACCTGGTCGTGGGCATTTTATGATAAAATGATGTTCTTTCCACTTCCAGATTATGGCCCCAACAGTACTCACTGGAACATTAAAAAGTTTAGAAATCCTTCTGAAACCAATGCCATCAGTATATTTTGCAACAACAAGATTGTAAAGGTCTTGAGAGAGCTCTTTGCTTTTATCAATCATGAGATGTTTCTTGTGTGACACATTGGTAATGAGACACCTTTTTATAGGCCATCAGTTGAGACTGAACCAGCTGATATTAATTTGCACTGACAAGGGGCAGGATTGCTTTCTAATTACTGATCGATTTTGGTGTCTTGGCTTTCCATGCCTTTTTTTGCACCTCCTTTTCTTCATGTGCTCAATACTTTTTCCCTGTGTCATTCCATTTTACTACACATAGCTTAATTTCTGAACTTATTTGTTTTGGTCTCTTTGTATGTATGACATGGTGAAAATTTTATGTCAATACCACCTTTAGAAATATATTTACAGAGAAAAAATGGTGACATGTTCAATACTTATTTTACCCAGTGTGTGTGTGTATGTATGTATATATATATATATATATATATATATATATATATATACACACACACACACATACACACACTGTATATACATACACACACACATACATACATGCATACATACACACACACACTGTATATACATACACACAGCTAAAAAAAAATGGGGAAAATATCATGCTGGATATCTATACTGATATAGAGTGTGTAATGTGTTAGAAATGTAAGGATGCCCCACCATTTTGTGGAAATGAAAATGATCAACCTACAGAGGACTGAATTCAAAATCCCCCCTCCCAAGAAAAGTGAAACAATGATGCAGCAGGCTAGTCCATTTTGCTGAAATTTCATTGCAGCAACTCAAAATGGTACTCAGTAGTTTGTATGGCCCCCATGTGCTTGTATGCATGCCTGACAATGTCGGGGTATGCTCCTAATGAGGCGACGGATGGTGCCCTGGGGTATTCATACCAGCCATGTGGTGCACTACCCCTTAAAACCTCTTCATAAAAATAAATAACATTAAAAAGAAAAAAAAAAAAATATATATATATATCCTAAATAATTAAATATGTCCATTAGTGAATACAAAAAAAGTCCATAATGGTGTATATAGTCCATTGTCACAAATTTGGGGCTGTGCAAACAAATAACGTGCTGTCCCTCCTTTAGGTGAAAAATTTGCTCACCTTGTGATTAGACCTACAAATCAATATAGGTCAAATGCACTATGTTAATCAGTGATATTAACCATTTGCCTACCGGGCACTTATACTCCCTTCCTTACCAGGCCAATTTTCAGCTTTCAGCGCTGTCACACTTTGAATGACAATTATGTGGTCATGCAACATTATACCCATTTTTCTCACAAATAGAGCTTTCTTTTGGTGGTATTTGCTCACTGCTGGGTGTTTTACTTTTTGCGCTATAAGCAATAAAAAGGAAGAAATTTGAAAAAAAAATTTCTTTGTTTCTATTATAAACTTTTGCAACCAGGTAATTTTTCTCCTTCACTGATGTGTGTTGATGAGTCTGCACTGATAGGCGGCACTGATAGGCAGCACTAATGAGGTGGCATGGATAGGTGGCACTGATGAGCTGATAGGTGGCACTGACTGGCGGCACTGCTGGACACTGACTGGCAGCACTGCTGGGCACTAACTGGCAGCACTGCTGGGCTGCACTGGTGGGCACAGGTGGGCGGAACTGGTGGGTGGCACTGCTGGGCAACGATCATCAGGGCACTGATCATCAGTGCCCTGATGATCGGTGCCAATCCCTGCTCTGACAACTGCCGATTCTCGCTCTGACAGCGTGAGGAAAGTGCAGCCGAGAACCGGCAATTGCATTTCCCGGTGATCAGCGTGTCATTGGACACGGCTGATCATGTGGTAAAAGGCTGCTGTGATTGGCCTTTTACCACACCACGTGATCTGCTGTGTCCGTAGGACACAGCAATCACGGAGATCACCGGGTGTGCGCCCCTGGGCAGGAGTGCGCGTTCTGGGGGGATGTCATATGACGGCCTCCCAGAACTGGCTGGCCGCAGTGTAGCTGTCATTCGGCTATCTGCGGTCGGCAACTGGTTAATTCAGACCAACTCTTCCATCCAGACTGTCCTTGATGGCACCAAAGATGTGGAGAATGCGATATTTTGGTTGGATGGGCACATTTTTACTACACTTTTGTTATTCACTTTATAGTAGGTTATTCACTTTATAGTAGTCATACGGTGTTGCACTATGAAATGTATATTTTTTTTTTGTTTGAGCGCATTCTCCACATCTTTGGAGCCATCAAGGAGAGTCTGGATGAAAGAGTTGGTCTGAATTAATATCACTAATTAACACAGTGCATTTGACCTATATTGATTTGTAGGTCTAATAAAAGGTGAGCAAGTTTTTCACTCAAAGGAGGGACAGCACGTTATTTGTTTGCACAGCCCCAAATTTGTGACAATGGACTATATACACCATTATGGACTTCTTTAGTATTCAGTAAAGGACATATTTAATTACTTAGGATATAAATATATTATTTTATTTATTTTTTTATCAAGAGATTTTAAGGG